TGGGGTCGCTATGAGTCGGAGATGACTCGACAGACAGCACCTAACAACAACAACAACAACATAACTTGGGTGGTTTTCTGGGTTATGTCATCATGTGTGTTAATCATTGGTTGTTGTTTGCTGGAAATGTTGTTATCTAGAAATCCACAATTTTGCTGGGTATGTAATTCTTGGTTGGAAATTTTTTTCTTTCAAGAATTTTATATATATCATGCCATTGCATTCTCTCCTACATGGTCTCTGCCAAGAAATCCAAGGTTACTCTTATCAGTTGCCTTTTGTAAGTAACTTTTTGTTTTTCCTGTGCTGCATTCAGGATTCTTTCTTTGTCTTTGGTTTTGGTGAGTTTGATTATGATGTGTCTTGGTGATTTTCTTTTGAGGTCTATCCTGTTTGGAGTTCATTGGACTTTTTGAATGGATATCTTCTCATCTTTCATCATATTAGGGAAGTTCTTTTCCAACAAATGTCCGACAATCTTTTCTGTGGGTTTTTTTTGGTATCCCACATGAATCTTAGGCTTTCTCCTTTTTTAAAAAAAAAAAAAAAATCTTTTTTCTGATTGAACCCTTAGCAAAGTATTATTGAGGTATTTATCTTCAATTTCACTAATGCTGTCTTCCATTGATTCAGTTCTACTCCTTTGCCTGTTCAATGTGTTACCTATTTCTGAAATTTCAGTATTCATCTTCTGGATTTCTATTTGTAGATTTTGAATCATTTCTAATTTTTCATTTATTTTGTCCTTTTGTTCTTGTATTGTTTTCCTAAATTATTCTAGATTTTTTTTGTGTGTTTTCTCCTTAATTTTGTCTGTATTTTCCCTGATCTATCTCTCAATCCCTTGAAGGTACCTAAATATAATTCTTTTTAATTCCTTATCAGGGAGTTCCAATGCTGTTTCTTTCTCAGGGATGTGTTCTGGGTCTGTATCTGGGTCCCTTGTTTCTACTACTTTATCTTGCTTCCTTGTGTGGACTGTGATGTTTTGTTGTCTCCAAGACATTATGATATTGTATTTATATTAAATTGGTGATTGTATGATGGTGGTATGTTATTCACCCAAGATTTTTTTTCTTTGTTTTGTTTGGATATATCTGAGTAAGCAGGGCACTGTGTTCCTCTATTCACTAGTTGGCAGCACTTAGGCACTCACCACGTGTCTCTTGGTGGGTGTGATAGAGAATGAGAATGTGTGTACAGATCTCTGTTAGCTGTTTGTGAAGAACAGTTGAGAGTGACTTGGGCTAGTACTGGCTATTATTTATCATTGTTCAGTTGGTGCAGAAGCAAGTGATGGCCCTCACTAAGCAGGTGGGACTGCAGGAGGTGTGGGTATGGTTGGGTCATATGGTCACAGTTGCTGTATTCCACTCAGACAAAAAAAAAGCAATAAAAATAACTACCAAAAAAAATAAAATCAAGAGGACAAAAAACACAAGCTGCATAAACAAACAGGAAAAATTACAAAAGAAAAAAAAAAGTAATAAAAGAGAAAAAATATTTAAATAAATACTTTTAAAAGACATAAAATATGTAAATAGAAAAAGAGAAACTATAATATTTGGGGGGTTGGGAATAAGAGAGAAGAGCAAAAGTAAAATAATAATAAAGAAAATATTAGAAAACTGCAAAAAGAAAAACAAGAGATGGGAAGAACCAAAAGAAAGAAAGAAGATGGGAACCAGGAAGAGGCAAGGGGGTGGGCCCACAAGAACCAGGGAAGGTGCGGTGTAGTAAATTACTTAGTATGGCTTTTCTACCCATAAGTCTTTGTAAACTCCAAGGTGGGAATTGCTATTAGCAACTGAGGAGATCCTGATTTTAAAGTCACCCACCTGGGTTATTTCTTTTGGGCGTGGCACAATACAATGTTTTGGGAGGTTTCCACACTCTCAGGTGCTTAGAGTTCTGATG